TGTGCTTCAAACTCCTCAATTTACTAGGCAATTGCATAATATCCTATAAGGCATACGTTTCGGCGATATACGGTCTGGCAATCACATCAGAACGGTACGGTAACGGACAGACCTACGGTGGTCGCCAAAACAATGGACCTCTCGAAAAAATTGAGGACTGATGATGACGAAATCGCCTCGGTCTTATGCTGACGTCATTGAATTGCGCTGGGTCCCTGCTCGGGCGCCAAATTTTTAACCCCTAACTCGTCTACAAATCCAATATCAGCGAGGGGCTAAAGGCAACAGTTGCCAAGCTAGAAATCAATTGGGAGAAGCTGTAACTTCATGCAGCGTAAAAGTAATTGCTGAAAGAAATTCTTTATTTTATAGCCAACATTCAGCTGAATTGGAGAAAATTCAACATCTTGAGGATTCTTCTAGTTACAAGCATACCTACTGAGTTTGTCGATGAACAGGTTACAGTTTAACCAATATTTGTTATACCAAACCTAAAAATTTGAAAAATGCTGATGAAGGCCAACATGCACATTTTGAATGCAAAATTAAACCTGTAAAATTCAAATTTAAAAGTAGAATGGTGCAAAAATGGCAGGCCTGTTACAGTGAGTCACAGATTCCGTCCTATTCATAACTTTGGCTATTGCTGATTCAATAGTTGAATATTCTAGAACCTACACTACAATAGTATATTCTTGTGCCTTGAAATGTAGACAAACTGGACAAATTATCACAAGCACTGTCAATGAAACTGATTTGCAACAAAGTCAACATTTGGAAGATCGTTTCCGTCTTGAGTTATTTTCCTAATTTCCTGAATTTTCTATCATTTTTACAGCCCTATACATTACATTACGTATTGTAAAGCGGAGGCAAAACTTTATTCATTCAAAGTGCAATCCAGTATAATTATTGTATAATTTTCTCTTGAAGAAGAATATTATTCACTCAAATAAAAACAGAAAATTTAACACACACAAGGTGATCATTGTTTCCCATAATTTGCCAATTGATTGTATCTCATAACTTACCTATCCTCTCAACTTTCTACCATGTCGGTTTGCTCAATAACCAATTGACATTCGCCCACTTCGAAAAGTTACCTCTAAATAAACAATGGTCACAAAAAAAAAACAGTTTAATGTTTCTTTCATTTCCCTGCTCGTATCAGAAGTATCATGTAAACATCTACCTAGCTATTTTTTTTTGGTTATTTGGCTTTCCTGCAAAAAAACATTGTTTTGTCAAAGCATTTCCTCTTTTCCTGAAAAACAGTACATCCCAAAAGATTAATTCAAAACAATAGCATTAAACCACAATAGTTGCGTTGTTTACAAATGTAAAATACTAATAAAACCTGACACACGGTCTAGGAAATATAATTTCGGTCATTAAATCATTACAAAAGATCGGAGTCCAAACAGCTGTTGGTGTTGGGCAGTAGAAAGGCAACGAACGCAATTTATCGGGTGTCGCCGACCATGTTCGGTTTAATTATTTGACAGATTAATTGGGCTTGCCATTAATTATTTCCCGGTTCAATTTGTTTTTGATAGTCGAAGTTAATTACATCTCGTGAATGCGGCCTGGATTCAACTTTCCAATATCCAAAAGGATACAAACTTAAACGAGTTTTAGCTCCTTTGAGAATTATGTGGTGGTAGGCAAAAATAATTGAAATACACACAAACTAAATCCTTTTCCAAAAAGTTTGCAGAAAAGTTTTATTAAAAACACGAAAAAAGTTGAATTATGCCTAAAACTAACCGAAATGTTTCCATATTACAACTTACTACAAAGCATTTAGTCTAACGTAACTGTTCCGAAAACTTTTCACAAAATTAATGTCGACAACTAATTAAACCGACCACCGGCCGATGATAAATTAAATTGCGGAAAAATTGGCGTCCCGTCCAGCTGTTGAACAGGAGAATTTGCGATGTTGTATGATTTAAGAGAGCGAAATTATCGTCGTTATAAATTTAACCAGCCCTCGGATTTTCTCTCTTGCACCCTGGGCATGGACAAGGTGGAAAATGATTTGCGAAACTTTGTTGCGAAGTTGAAAACCACCCTCCACCGTCCTCTGAAATAAAGAACATGTGTAGAGTTGCAACTTAGTTATGAGAAAATTAATGGTACATACTTATTAAGTTAGGTATCAGGTGTGGAACCGATTTGTTTTAAAGTGAAATATTGTTGTATGCTTATTATTTTCAAATTATATATAATTTTTAGTTAACATCCAACCTTAAATCTCTTGCAAATTAAATTTGGATAGTAATCGCTGAATGCAAAATTGAATTTTTAGTCATAAATCAAACTTCAAATATAAAATTTCTCTCTATCTCTTGCCCGGGGTTCGAAATAAAGAGAGTTAAAACGGGGGCCGTAGATTACGTGAAATACCGTGAATTGTGGCTCCATTAAACTCTCACGGATTTTATACTCCGGAATATTCCTATAAGGGCTTAAAACGTGGGATTGTTCAATTAGGTTTTAATCAATAATCTTGAAAATTTACAAATACTAATAGGATTATTGATAGTAAGTAAATGAGGGGCAACAATAATTAAAATTTGGATGAAAAAGTATTTGTAAATTTCGCCCAAACTATTCAAGGTTCCGCTCATCTTGTTTCACTCTCAATATTTTACATGTACTCCATTTCTCCTGCCATTACTACATAACTTCGGCTGCCATGACCTACCAGGTTTTAATAATTAGGTTTAATAGAAGCAATTATAATATTTTTTTATCCGAAAACCATTATATCTCCTCATCAGTTGGCAACATTAATTATTTTTTAATCCATCTACAAATATAGAAAGTTGGTGCTAAAAACCAAATCTTCGTGTCTGTATATTTGCAGTTTTCACGTAAATATACGAAAGGGAGATGGTTGTTTAGCGTCCCCATTTCCGACTGGTACGAAATTACGGACCGGGAAAAGACTAATAAAGGGATTGAACATGGTAATTGGACGGTAATTATATTTAGCTCGGAAGGAATTTATGAGCTTCCAGTGACAGGAAACTAGATTTTGTTTCGAATAATAGTCTGATGATAACCAATAAAGTGCAAAATTGAATTCAATACAGGACACAGTTGAAAATCAGAATTAGCCTCTAGGGATTCGGCTAGTATTATATCGACAATAATTTCTCCGAGGGCCTATAAAAGTTGTTCAAACAATAATTCGTTTTTCTTGGGTGAAGAATTCGAGCAACTTTCACCCCGTGTAATCCATTTCCAGAGGTCAACCACTCTAAATTTCGGGTTGGTGGTTGACTTAGATTTAAAGCATGCATCTGTTTTCAGATAACTTGAAAAGGAGGAGCGCAATTTGCTTAACTGACGTCTACTGGCAGGCAGCGGTTACAGCCTTCTCCAAGTCTGGACTCAATAAGGGATTAGGAATAAATGAACAGTTTACCGAACATGGCTGATGGTTTTCGATTCTTCAAACGTCTGGTTTTTAGTTCGAATAAAATTGATACCAATCAACGTAATACGATTTATGTTGTTTGCAAAATAAAAATAATTGGACACCGGAGAGTCCTCGAATTTAATTAACGAATACATGCCCATTTTTAGTATACGCCCTAACGAATAACTGTTACTCTTTTTTCAATGAAAATAATTTTTGGGAGTTATTCAACCATTTCTGCAATACATTTCTTATCCACAATCTTTACTCCATATTTTCTGATAATTCCAAGTTAGTAAATTTCCAGCTTTAAAACTACTATTCGCAGTTCCAGCACCTATAAAATATAATTATATTCTAGGGGAATTTAGCTGCTACCCGGCCGTTTGTCATCCTGATTTTATTTATTAGCGGTTACCATGAAAGGCAAAAACTAATTTTAGGATAACAAAAACCGAACGAAGGAAAATTGTTATTTATGATGCCTAATTTCCCGACTACTTATTATTAGTGGAGGAATTACATTGCGGCAATATTGCACTTAAAATGGATTAAAATCAAATTCGGGCGTCGAAAGGTCTATTGCGATTACTGAAAGCTCTAAACCTCAAAGCTCCATGACACTTCTAAAGGAATGAGGCGTTTTCCAATGTCTCCGAGATGTTCTGGCGGGCCCCAAAGGCGATTTTCCACTCTCTACACGAGTCCTGCATTAAAAGAGAAAAGACCGAGGCTACTTTAAAAAGGGTTTTAGGTATTTTTATTTTCAGTTGACGTTCAAATCGAAAATCCTCGGGATTTATGTGTTGAGTGATTTTGGCTATAAAATCATCCTAGAAGCAATTTGCAGATTATTCATTATACAAAAAGAGTCCCAGTGTAAAGGCCTTCGGGAATAAAGCTGCAGTTCAGCAGTAACGTAAATTATTTATCTAGGAAGCTAAAATAGAAATTCTGCACACGAGTTAGGTACCTACCTCTGCGACACACGACAATAATAATAAATGTTTAAATTCAATCTCGGTAAGAGAGTTTCTACAGTGACCCAACAAAAGTAAGCTTATTATCATCTATTTTGCAAAATGTTAAAACCTCTTTATGTTTAGGTTGTCTTGGCACAATACCTAGACGAAAAAATAAAACCTTGTAAACGCAAAACAATAATTTCAGAGTAAAATTCACTCTATAAACTTTCAGTAATAAACTCCATCTGTTAGATGGTAACTGTACAGAAACTGTAGTTTATAATGAGCCCGGGCGTAGACAATAACTTCACTGTGCAAAATTTAATTTATTTAAGAGCCGCTAGAACATTGCAAATAAGTATTTACCAGAAAATAACGCGGCTCAGAGACTCCTGTAGAGTGTTTTTAATGAAGTTGAAACATAAATTTTCACCTCTATGTACGTAGAATAAATTTATTCCGAAATAAAAGTTAGGTAACCTTGTGTGAGTGCAGGAATTTGAAATAAATCATTTTACATTTTAGTCAAAGGCGAATAATATTTAGGAGCTTATATTCCAATATTAAATGCACTGTTTCTGAGGCTTTTTTATATTTTGTTCCAGATGTAAATATGGTAGCCGAACCAAAACCACATCAAACTGGAAGAAAAAGACAAAATGTTGCCAAAACTGGAAACGATTGGTAAGTTTTCTCCTTCAAATTTTTTTAAATAAATAATTCCAAGAATTGGTAGATTTATGTCTATGTTAATGTTGTTTCAAGTATCATTAATTCTGGAATTTGATTGAGTCTTTAATTCCAACGTTTAAGTCCAAATCAGTGAAAAAAAAAAGGTTCACTAAAGAACCGTCCATAGAGACAAATCCAAAACCACTCTACTCCCGAGTCCCAGCAGAACAACAAAAATTGTTGCAGACGGTACTTTATTTCCTGCAAACCGCCGTATATAACTCTTTTCTTGTGCCTCCGGAGACAACAACTAACACAGGGAGGAATCCTTTCGGAATTATTTCGGAGCCAAATGCATCGGCAAGAGGGATTAAATATTTAAGTTAGGGTTTGAATTAGTGCTCTAATTTTAAGATAGAGGTTGGAAAGTAACAGACAAAGTTAAAGAAACGTTTTTGAGGAAGATTGAATAATTTTATTATTAATAATTAGTTGTTTTATATTTGGATTTTCGAATATAATATCACAAGAGGCTTCAGGATTACCGGATAATACTTTTACCTGTCACGAAACGCGTTACGCTGTTGCTGGTAACGCGTTTACAAACACCCGGCAAGAGTTTACAAGAATTCGAATCGAAAATTAGAAGGCTAGTGAATTTGGCGTTTCCTGCAGCTGGGGAAGACTCTAACCACTTTTGTTGATGAATTAACTATGGGTCCATAATATACTCAGTTAGCTCATCGAAGAAAAAAAATTAGGTGTGGGTTGATAGTTTAATCAGTACAGAATAATGGCGAGGGCGCCACTGAATTTTTAAAAATAATAATAAAATTGCACAAAATATGGAAGTGTGAAAGTTCAGGAACACACCTAGAAAATAATTAGCAACCGAAAATTTCAAATTAAAACAGTGTATATTTCACAGTCAGTAAACCATTCAGTATTGGTTTATTCCAAAATATAAGATCAACTATTGTTGATAAGATACCGTACACTCAATCAAAATAATAATAATAATAATAATAATAATAATAATAATGATAGAAATAGCATAACAAAAAATTGTACCTCAATATACTTGCCTCATAAATTCATTAACATTAGTTACCAAGGGCATTTTCCAAAATTCACCGGTTTCTGAACCGGTGCGATACCGGTTTAATAGTTTACTCACCAAACCGTTCCAAAATGTACCGACTTTTTACCGGTTGAACCCGATCGTTCGTTCCAAAATTGACCGGAATGATCAGCTGTTTAAAACCGGTAAGGCACCGAATCCACCGGGAATTTTTGTCGGTTTTTTCGGTTGAAGGTTTATTGACACTTTTTTTTGACGTACATTAATTTAATTGCTTTGAATGGGCACTATTGGCAGTCTATTGTTAAATTGCTGCTTGCAGATGGCAGAATAAAAAAATGTTTGTGCGTGGGCGTCATTATGAAATCGACAAACCAAATACTCAGCTCACATATTCTACAAAAATCGTACTGAAAACTACCGTTTGTTGACTGTTAAAAATAATAAAAATACATACCAACCTCACTGCATCTCACAAAAAAATCCATTCCAAAAAATAATAGGCAACACCACCAAACTTTGACACTAAAGCGTTCCAAAATGCACCAGAGAGATCTTGTAACCGGACTTGCATCTGACTTTTACCGGAATTTTTGGACAGCTACCGGTTTATTTAACCGGTCAATTTATCGGTGAAATTTGGAAAGTGCCCAAATTCATCATATTATTTAGGTTAGGAAAAATCGGGCACGAAATTTGAAATGGGTTCCTAAACACATTTCAACAAATTTGACAGCAATGTATTTCTTATGGGGGATTCAAAAGAGTGATTTTCAGACGGTAATATCTTGGGTTCTGGGCATTTCTTAGTATTTGAACCTATTATACGTCAAACTTTGAACATATTTCTCAATAATTCATGCTCTAATTGTTTTTTAGACCTATGAATTAAAAATACAAATGATTTTAATTAAAAGTGTCTGTTTTCGGTGGACGTACGTCGGGTCTAAAACCAGCTGTAAGAAAGTGAGGTTGTGTGTTGTGTTATGATTGTTGGTGAATTGTTTATTTATTTATTTATCACTAGTTCAGTTATTTGTTTTTCCATTTTTTGGGATTATTGAAGTACATCTACTAACCAAGTATGTAGGGACACTTTTATTTTATTATAATTATAGGTAACCATATATATACTTATGGATCAAGCAACCAACGACATACGTATTTTATACAAACATCGGCTTCTTGAATTGGTAATATATTTATTTTAACAATGTTTATTCAACTCCCAGTTAATTAACATATTAAAAAAACTATTTATACTACTCACTTCCCTAACAAACGTTCTATCACGTCTACAGACGCTTTTAAAATTGAGTCCCCATAAGACATCAATGTAATAATTTTTGAACTAGGAACCCGCGCCAATTTGCGATTCTAACCTAACTAATATGGTGAATATCATCAATTTGAAAGGAAAATATAATGATTTACGTTTCCGAAGAACTAATTTAAAAAATTGGATGATTAAAAAAATTCTATCAATGAATATGGTCAATATCTGCAAAAAAATAGATTAAAAAAAAACAAGTTGTACCATCGTCACCAAAAGTATCTGGGACACAAATAATGCCTAGTAATCTCCTGGACTAATTCTACTGTCATTCATTTCAATGCATTATATTCATAGTTTGACAAATATTTGACAATAAAATTCATATAATAGGACAAGAGCTAATGTGATGCTGTCCCAGTTACTTTTGGTGACGATGGTACCTGTAAAAAAAATCAAAGGTTGGGCTATAAGTCAAATGGTCGACTTGAAGGAAATCCTCCGATATATAAGTTAAGCCCGGGTTAAAAATTGATCAACTTTCGAAAGCTATTACCCAAGAATTCAAATTCAGAACATGTTGTCCAACCTTGACCCTTATTCGGATCACTTATTTATAAAATTGATAAAATATAAGGCAGTATCAGTAGTTATGCTAACATAGTAAAACTAATAAACTAAGAACCAATTTTCTTTCGCCATTGTGTCAAGAATAAATTTGTACAGTGTCATATATCAAAAAATTATCATAGCTTTGTTAATAGACTTTAAGACTAAGTCTTCAAAAATATTAGCCACAAGGTTGGAACCATTGTCACAAATGATATATTGTGGAACTCTTCGTTTTTCAAAAATGTAACGATACAGTTGGTAGTGCATCCCTTGCGAATGCACAAGACAATATTTCGTGAGCCAATCACAAACGACTAGGAGGTAACAACTGCTTTTGGATGATCTCGGAAATGGACCCATCAAATCTAATGCAATGATTTGCCAAGGAAACTGAACGGATTTTTGATTGCCCATTAATCCTAACTTGTCATGTCTTGCACAGACATGACAAGTTCTTACAAAAGATAGGATATGCTTGCGCATTCCAGGCCAATAGAAATTTTCCTGAAATCAAGATAAAGTTTTGAAAAAACCCAAATGAGCGGCGGTAGGAGGATTGTGACAATCTTGGATAGTCTGTTTCTGAATATATTTAGGGACTACTATTTTCCACTCTCTAGTGTTGGATTTGACAGGGTCGACAGGGACAGAAGATAAAATTAAATTGTTTTGAACTTTAAAGTGAGGAAAATGATCGGGAGATTGAAGAAATTTTTCTCTCAAGGAGACATACCAATGGTCAAGATTTTCGGAAACTATATCGATAAGAGAAACCTTCGGAAGACACTCTGGGATACGCGATAAGACATCAGGCATTGTTTCTACCTTTACGGTGAACCATATCAAAAGTATGAGTCCTCAGCTTCATAGCCCAACGTGCAAGTTTTCCTGTGGGCTTTTTAAGATTATTAAGCCATAACAAAGCTTGACAATCAGTGACAACCGTAAAGTTAACACCTTCAATATAACCTCTAAAACGATCGATATTAAATAAGAGAGCCAGACATTCCTTCTGAGTTGCACTCAGGTTTCGTTCCGCTTTAGTGAGAAACCTACTAGCATATGCTATTACTTTTTCGACACCACCAATAATTTGGGTGAGGACACCTCCCAATCCAACATCACTGGCATCATTCTAGATAGTAAAGGGTAAGGAAAAGTCAGGTTGACTCAAGACAGGTGCGGAAACAAGAGCCTGTTTGACTTGAAGAAAAGCCTTCTCGGCATCAGGAGTCCATTGTATGGGTTGATTCTTCTTTTTACCTTTTAAGAGATCGTGAATGGGAGCCATTAAGGAAGAATAGTCCTTCAAGATCCTTCGATACCAACCACATAAACCGGAAAATTTTGAGTGGTATTGGTTGGTCTGGGATAGTTAATCATAGCGGAAATTTTTTCAGGATCTGTTCGCAAACCATCTGATCCGACAATATAGCCGAGAAACTTGACAGATGTTTCGAAGAAATCACATTTATCGACATTGATTGTTAAATTAGCATCTTCTAAGATGTCTTTAACTCAGAACAAAACAAATTTTCGACGGCAAGCTATTATCCAAGAATTCAAATTCAGAACATGTTGTCCAACCTTGACCCGGATCACTTATTGATAAAATTGATAAAATATAAGGCAGTATCAGAAGTTATACATACGAATATAGTGAAATTAATAAACTAAGAACCAATTTTCTTTCGGCATTGTGTCAAGAATAAATTTGTACAATGTCACATATAAAAAATATCATAGCTCTGTTAATAGACTGTAAAAATGATTTCATGAAATAAACATTGTAAATTAAGAGTTATTAGTGAAACTTATACAAGCCTCCATCCCAACATAAGGCAGATCGGGAAACCATCCATTCTCGTCTCTCGATATCTGGACGAAAGGGGCCGCAAATAAGAACAGGTAGATTCCAGCCCAGAATCCAAGCAGAAAAGGGACTATAATCGTCGTTAAAGGTGCAGCACACGTATCGACCTGTGGGGTTTTGATTCTAGTAGGGTAGGAAGCCCTAGCTCAATATCAAGCTCCACGGAAATGGTA